TTCATAAAATGAAGTATTACTAAGTCATATAATTATCACAATTACGACGAACAGATACTACATAAAAAACAAGCATTGCTCATGTTTTAATCACTTTGTTATGCAAAAATACTATTCTTTACTTTATCCAAAAATGTAGCCAAAAAAAATAGAAATCTGTTCTCACTTAGAAGAAAAGATGTTATATTGTATTGTGGAGTTCAAGCATAGCACATATATATATATATATTTAATAAAAGAAATACTTTTTACTACTAAAAACAAATATCTTAGTTTCTACCATTGACGTAATTTTTATAATAATTTCTTCCAACATCATAGATTATATATTTTTCAATAAGATTTCGGAGACTAAAAAAATACGAAGCACACTTGTTTTTCTTCAGTGAGAGAAAAAATTTGGACGTTGAACTTGATATTATTATTATTTTTTGAATGAATAAAACTTGACTAAAGTAGAGATGAAATAAATCAGTCTAATTTGGTAATGTTTGCATTTTGTTGTTATTTCCGTAGTTATGAATCTTGAGAGATTATTGGTAGAATCAAATATTATTTATATAGGAAATAAGTCAGCAACATGTTATTTGTCGCATTTCAGGAAAATCAAAGATCTTATTTCCTTCTACGTGGAAAACGGAGACCTTTAACGAAACCAGTTTGATTACATGCCCAGATATATCATTCTGTCTTTATAGTACGTGGTTTTCGTGTTCTCAGTACTTTCGCTGTGCGAATGGAATCGCTTACTTAGTAAACTGTTCTGAGGACATGTATTTTGATCTGGAGAAAGGAATATGTGGCCCCAAGGAATATGTTGAATGTGGTAAGTTAATTATATTGAACATGGCTAGAAATCGACTAGACTTTATATTGTTATGTTCTTACGTGGTTATTCAATATGATAAGTCGACTAAATACTTTGCATTGTTATTTTGTAACATACTTATTCAACATGGTAAGCCGACAAGATGCTTTGTATTGGTATGTTCTAACATACTTATTCAATAGGGTAACCCGACTAGATGCTTAGATGCTTTGCATTGTAATGTTTTAAGATACTAATTTAACATGATAAGTCGGCAAAAATACTTTGTATTATTATGTTCTAACATACTCATTCAACATGGTAAATCGTACCTGTTCTAAGAATAAATCTTACTGTAAAAGCTGTAATATAATATTTGTCGACAAGATACTTTGTATTGATATGTTTTACATATCTATTAAACATGATAAGCCAACTAGATGCTCTATTAAACGTGGTGAGTCGACTAGATACTTTGTATTGATATGTTTTACATATTTATTAAACATGATAAGCCAACTAGATGCTCTATTAAACGTGGTGAGTCGACTAGATACTTTGTATTGATATGTTTTACATATTTATTAAACATGATAAGCCAACTAGATGCTTTATTAAACGTGGTGAGTCGACTAGATGCTTTGTATTGTCATGTTTTACATATTTATTAAACATGGTAAGACGATTAGATGGTTTATAATGTTTACTTTTCCAAATACAGTTTGCTCTATTCGTACACTAATCCATCATATCATAGCACCCTTTCATCTCAGTAATTTATAAATGGTTATAATCGTTAACTATTTAATATGTTATACTGAAAACAGTCTATAAAAATTAATTTCAGTTCGACTTCTTTTTTTTTACTCGGATTTAAACAAAAGTTTCAAGAGACGTTATCAGAGTAAAAAAATCCAGATAGCCTCTATGTAGTAGCTGTTAATTAATAATTAATTTGTAAAACGTAAGAAATATATATATTTATATTGGCAAAAATATTATTTAACATCACGAGAATCATCATAGTCAAAATACACACTATAGTTATCAAGGATGACATCAACTCGTTCAAAACATTTCTAAAAGTTGTTCTACCATTTGCTACAGACAAGTTCATAGCAAACCTTTTCTGTATCCGGAGTCATAAAATAATTTAAAATTCACATATGTTTGCTCATTGAATTAAACGTTGTAAAAATCAGGTTCTTGAAAGTATTTTTTATTTAGGTCATCTCTTGTGGAATTAGAATTTCAAGAATAATCAATATGGTACAATATTGCAATAATGTATATTTGATTACCTTGAATATTTCTACATCAAACATCGTTATTTAGCAGTGAATAGAACTGTTACACATAAAATGTACGTAAGCTTTGTTTTCAGTTAACGGTACTTGGTTATACCCTGATTCATCAACGTTAAAATTATGTAATGTTTTATAAAGATTAGATAAAGTAATATTAGTGCAGTACAAAGGGGCACAATATCGTGTTTAACAGTTAAAATAAAGAAATAAAAACGCTCTGTTTGAACAAATTATATCTAATTCTACAGGGTACTAGTTTCAATACATTCATATGTCATCTCCAGTTTGTCGCATTTTTAGAATATATAAGTCAATACGGTTTAATTAGAATTATCCTAAGGGCACATGATCACACGACAATACGGAGGTGTTAAAATTTGAAGAACTTTTGATAAATGAACTGTTAACAAATTTTTTGTATGTAGTTTTCAGTTATATAGAAAAATTATTATTATTTTTTCCAAATCCAACGGATGACCGAAATGTTGCATAGTTTGCGTTGACGTTTTTAACGTCACTTGTATGTTCAGTGATCCACGTGTTTGCGTTTCTTCCAATTTCACTTGTGTAAGCATCTTACGAGATTGGTAAGGTAAAGTGTAAACACCTTGGTTTTTATATTCCAGTGTGGAGCTATTTGAAGTTATGCTACTTCTCATAGTGTTAAGGTATTTATAAGTTACTTTAAAATTATTTTTTCACTAGCATTTTTACCGAAGGCTCAATTTACACAAATTAACTTTTTAATATTCTCTTGTTTTTGTTTTGCCATTATCCTTTAAAAGGCTTTCATTTCCGTATCGGGTATTGTAATTGGTTCAGAAGTTGTTTCTAACTTTTTTTCTTTATAGTATCGTTGGATGACATATTCTGTAGACCCTTAGAAACGTTTAGGTCACAATAGTCATTTTCACATCTGTTGTGAAAGTGGTTACGGTTGATTAAAAAGGTGTCAATATTTGTGTGTTAGACAAAGAAGTGTTTTCTATTGTGTATGGTAGTGTCGTAAGTGGTGTAAATTATTTCCAACCTAATCTAATCCTGATATGAAAGTTTACGGAATGAACAAAAGCTTAAAAAAAACGAGAAATTTAATTACATTTGTTTAAGGTGACGAATCACTAAAACGTTCTAATACTTTTTCCAACAGATATTACAACCACGGAAGCACATAAACCAACTACAACTCAAGTGCCCACGACTATTCCAAAAGTCATCTCGACAAAAACACCGACACTTCCACCAGAACCCATTTGTTTCAAGTGTCCCGAGCCATGTGGCCTGTTTCCGGACCCCAAAGACTGTGAAAGGTTTTACTTCTGTTATACCGGTTTGTCTTTTCGCAAAAAATGTCCATCTGGTCTCCACTTCAACGCTTTTCTTCAAACCTGCGATAAACCTGGTGCAGCTGGCTGTGGTAAGTAATTCAACACATGTAATTTATTAAACAGAATACTTTTTCATTGATAGAAATCATCACATGAACTTGAGTTATTCAGGTATTATCTCATCTTCATGTAGCGTTGTTTTACCTACTGGGTCCATGACATCAAGATAGTTTACTGGATAACTCAGGTTTTGGTATGATGCCAAATAAGAATCAGTTAGAGACAATTCGCTGAAAAGGCAGATTATAACAATAGTAGAAAGATTATCTAAATAACTGACCAAGTATCACAATTATGCTATGCCTTAAAGAGATGAAGCTGATTAGTCTAGTGTAACGAATGAATAAACGATTTTCTGAAATAACATCAAGCAACATCAACAACAAACGAGACTGATTATAGCAAATATAATAGGTTTATATGTGATTTTTATATGTTTGACTTTATGAATAATATTATTATAACACTTTTATCGATAAGATTCTGATTTTATGTTATAAAAGGGAAGACAGTCGTTCCAACCATTAGACCAGCAACAAACCAAACATGTAGTTCCGACTGCTCGATGATTCGGGACACCAAAGACTGCACTAAGTACAAGTTTTGTAAGGATAATAAAATTCATGAAATGTCCTGTCCGCCTGACCTGGCCTTCAACCCCAAAACGGACACTTGTGACTATGCTGATAAGGTGGAGTGCAGAGATCCAAGATGTCCTGAACCTAATGGTCTCTTTCCTCATCCAGACTCCTGTCTGAAATACATCAAATGTGAAAATTGGCAGTTCAAGATTATGAAGTGCCCAGAGGGTCTTGGGTTTAACCCTAACACCAAGTGCTGCAACTGGCCTGACACCTGCAATGGTAATTAATTTTTATAATTCAAGATTTGACACAAGATAATATTCATTTGGTTATTTAACTTTCTTAACAATAACGCTAAAAGTACAAAAAAAAAAGCTTGTTCGCGGAATTATAAATTAACTTTTTATTTATAACATTACATGTAGTGTCGTACACGTTAGTTTGATATATCGGTTAAAGTTTATGCTACAGTTAATTTGGCCCGCGGGAAAATAAGAAATTAATTTTATTATTCTAACAGTCGGAAATTTAATACTCGCCGAAATCCTGTTTGGTAACTCTCAGTATTGATATTTAACAGTTGAATTCAAGTTTTTTGTACATTACTTGTCCTTTCTTCACCACAAGTAATATGTATTTATATAGGTATTTAAGGAACAAGTAATGATAATGTTATTAATTTATCCTACTCAATATTACGCCAGACAAGCTGTCTAACATAACGCTAAGTTAGACCGGTTTCGGAAAATTCGAATTTTTATTGTTTAATTTGCACTGTTTACGTATGTATTAGCTAGAGATTAAGTGATTTTAAACATAAGGATCCTGTTATGAGTAGTGAAACAAGCAGTTCATGTGTCTTTTAAACCATAGGTAAGCATTCTAGGAATAAACGTTACTGGTAGTAATATTGAAACATAATTATGATAGTAGTACAATTAGAGTTACAGAAGAAAAAAAACAACAAAAACATACACGATGATAAGAATACAAAATATGGTGAAAATTGTAAAATATGAGCGAAAATACTCATGACTGACCCATAAAATGGAATAATGTGCAATGTGTTCATAAGTGCGTCCATCATATTCCATAACTAATACATTAATCTTTAGTTTTATCCGATTTCTCAAGCACACTCTACATTTTTGGTTCTTCGGTTCTTTGGTTAATCACCAAATGAACTAATTGGTGTTTGTCAAAACAGACACTTATTAGATTGAGCATTTCTGTTTACTCTTCTAGAAAAGGTCATCAAGCCTCTCATTGTCTATCCAGCCAAGAAAGAGTGTCCGTGTTATTGCTGTGCTATTGCTGACCCTAACGACTGTAGCAAGTTTACGCTTTGTGTCAATGGCCATGCCATTAACGAACAGTGTTCTGGAGGACTTCTTTTCAGCCCTAAGACCGAGAACTGTGATTATGCTAAGAATGTAAACTGTAACCGAACGTGTGACAAGGACTGTGATGATAAGCCAACAGTGCCACCTGGTAACTACTGCAAGAAACCGTCCGGTCTCTTTCCTCATCCCACTAAATGCAACCTCTTTATCCATTGCTCCAAAAATATTCATCACATCAAGGAATGTCCAAGTATTCTTCACTTTAACCCAAGACTCAGAGTCTGTGATTGGCCATGGAATACAGGCTGTGGTAAGTTAGTGGGAAACACTAGTTTAATCTATAAGAAACACGATATATTATTAACAACACCTAGGCATGTTCGAAGATTTTATTTAGATTTTTCTTATAATGTTGATAATTAGGATTTTCCCAATTCCTGATAAACTACAGGAATTCCTGATAAACTTAATATTTATTACGTCATTTCACACGTGAATTTAACAATAATTAAACTCTTTTTTTTCTATTCAAAAGTATCTCTATTTGACTGCTCGCCCTCTATGTTTTATCAAGTCGCTATTTTTATTATAACAATTCTGTCATTTACATTTCAACCCGTGGCCCGGCATGGCCAGGTGGTTAGGGCACTCGACTCGCAATCTGCGGGTCGCAAGTTCGAATCCCCGTCCCACCAAACATGCTCGCTCTTTCAGCCGTGGGGGCGTTATAATGTGACGGTCAATCCCACTGTCTTCCCTCTAGTCTTACACTACTAAATTGGAAACGGCTGGCGCAGATAGCCCTCGTGTAGCTTTGCGGGAAATTAAAAAACAAACAAAACATTTCAATTCAATGAGTGTAGTTTTAAAGGATTTTATTCGTTAACCGTCAGATAATTTTACGGAGAAGAAATTCCTGCTAGGTGACACAATTCTGTTATTTTTACCCAGTAAATTTTCAACTTATAGGAAGCAACACCACAGAACCTGAACCAGAGCCAGAGATACCTGATGATAAAGTAACCTGTGACTGTGACTGCTGCTTTTTACCTGTAAAGGGAGACTGTGCCGCCTACATTCGATGTGAAGGAGGCATCGCCTACCGTGGTAGATGTCCTGGTAGTTTACTCTTTAATAAAGATGTGGAAAACTGTGATCTACCAGAAAATGTTATCTGTGAAGATAAACCGAAAGACCCGAATTACAATTGTACTTCAGAGTTTGGTCTCTTTCCTCACCCCAAAGACTGTGGGAAATTCATTAAGTGCTCTCATTGGATGCCATATGTGATGAACTGCCCCAGTAAACTTCATTTTGACCCGGCAATAAAGGTCTGTGATTGGCCAAACAAAGACGGGTGTCATGGTAAGCCTCTTAAACATCTGTTTAACAATATAAGTATAACATGCTTTCTTACAAAGTTTCAGGATTTAGTAGCACTTGAGCCGTTGTTGATTTAAGGTAATGATAAAAATATACAAGAAAAACAAGAACGTCACATAACATTACCAAATCATTCTTGACTTATAACATAAATCTCCACTTTTACCTACTCAGCTTAGTTGGTAGTAAGACGTATCAAAATAGTAGAGTTTATAACTGAAGGCGGAGAAGTTGAAGTGGTATAATTTATTTTACGTGGCCACACTTTTAAACTTATTAATTCAGTAGGACAAAATTAACAATGTGTAGTTGTCCAACTAATTCTAGCACCCATGTTTCCTCAATTCTTTATTTTAAACTCATGAAACAGCCTTTCTTTAACCGTAGCAGTCAGAAGATCCCATGTTTTATATATATATATTATATAACATAAATAGACAATTATTGCATCTAACTGAGGAATTAACAGTAAAATGTCATGATTACGTTTCCATTGTTGGAAACAAGTATAGTTTAAAAAATAATCTTAAGGTTATCCGTTGACCAGTTACAAGAACAAGGTGCTATGAACGGATTGGATTATTCAGTTCCATCAGCAAATCTAGTCACGAATACGTTAATACTCAGTTAAAGTTATTCACCTTATTGGGAGCCATTCATACTTGTCTTTATTACATTAACTCAAAAAACCATCAGAGGAAAGAATTGACAATCAAATTGTTACTTGTTTTTCACATGGATATGTGGAGAATAACAACTCCTTATTTCCAGGAATTGTACCAACAAAACCTTCTAAACCTGACGGAACATGTGACCTGTGTGAATGTTGTTTTATCCCTGACGACAAGGACTGTGCAGCCTTCACCCGGTGTGAAAACGGAAAATCTTACAAAGACCGCTGTTCCCCTGGTCTGTTGTTCAACCCCAAGATAGAGAACTGTGACTTTGAGGAAAATGTTGACTGTGAGAAGCCAAAAGTTTGTAAGTTTATTAATTGCCCTGGAGATTTCTTCGTCAATACTCAGTGTATTTGCACTGAAAATAATACTAATTTTGTTAGTGTTAAAAGATTGCTCAACCGAGCAGTTTAACGACTAACTTATGACTGTAATAGATGGATAAATAATTTACTGTACAGAGTATAACTCATAATTATAGAAAGTATTGGTGTTTGGTTCCTCCTTTAATTCTTAGGTCGATATTTTATGTTTAAGTGAGGGAGATAGTGAAAGAATCTGTTACTTCTTCAAACAGATACTACAACTACAGTTCAAGAAACGACAACAGTTTCAAGAGTCATTTCGACTGTACCACCGACACTTCCACCAGAACCCATTTGTTTCAGATGTCCCGAGCCATGTGGTTTGTTTCCTGACCCCAAAGACTGTGAAAGGTTTTACTTCTGTTATACCGGTTTGTCTTTTCGCAAAAAGTGTCCATCTGGTCTCCACTTCAACGCTTTTCTTCAAACCTGCGATAAACCTGATGCAACTGGTGGCTGTGGTAAGTTATTAACCTATGCAAATTACAAAAAAGAATATTTTTTTTTATAATGGGGAAAACCGTCATTGGCCTGTTTTACTTTAAAATGTAATTAAATAATTGTGAGTGTGAAAAATCTGACTAGTTCTCCACCTGTTTTTTTTTTCATTCAAAAAGTGATTATTTCTACTTTTTTATTTTAATCTAGAATTGACCTAGTTGGTTGTGTGGACGAACTTTGCATAAATATTCTATGAAAATCGAATTAATATCTTTATGTACACTGGAAAATTCATCTTGACTAGAATTTGTTTGCTTTAATAGTTGTAAGACGAAATTGGTTAGACAGATTCAACAAGCAGTAACTTGTAGTAGTAACTGAGTAGAAGTCGTTTTATTGACCTAAAGTAATAAACTCTGAGCTGATAAGAAAAAAAAGTTTGGGAAGCACAATTATTTACAGTTTTTTTCAGAAAAAACAAACAAGGGAATTGTTGAGACAATATTTGGGAAAGTCCGAGAAAAATAAGGAACTGTTTGGCTCTTTTATCATAAAGAAGGCTTTAAAGCCCCATATTAAGCGTAAGATTATTTCTACTATATATTATTGTATACTCAAGAACATTGTTTAACATCACTTTTATAAATATATCAAGAGAAAAATAAGGAACTGTTTGGCTCTTTTATCATAAAGAAGGCTTTAAAGCTCCATAATAAGCGTGAGATTATTTCTAGTATATATTATTGTATACTCAAGAACATTGTTTAACATCACTTTTATAAATATATCAAGAGAAAAAATATGGAACTGTTTGGCTCTTTTATCATAAGGAAGGCTTTAAAGCTCCAT